ACTGTTCAAACAGGGAAGTTTTTTTGAAGAAATAATAGTCTATTTAAACATTGACACTGAGCCTTGGAGGACAGCTTTGGTCTTTTATACGGTTGATAAGGTACCTGTTCTACCGTCTGTTCTTTTTTGGGGAAAAAGATACCATTCTTAAAACCATTGCATCATCTCCTTCGATTGCTTTATAACACATTACATTTCTTCTAATGGTAGCTCACCTACTGCTAGTAACCACAGAGAGAGTGGCAGCATGTATAGAAGTAAGAGGTTAAGGATAAAATATGTTAAGAGTCTCCTGAGACACCAAGGTTCTTGTGTAAATAACTCGTTATGAGTGGCGGCTGATACCTAAAAATCAGGATTGATTGCCTTTGAGGAGACCGTGCCTACTCCACGGCTGTGTGGATGGCCCCACATGCTTTATTTGCATCACAGTGTTTAAACTTGCCTGTTGGAGGCAGAATTATAAATTTCCTCATTAGTGGGTTTTTTTATGGCTCACTCTGTTTGTACGAGACAAACATAATGAGTTAAATTTTCCATAATTTTTAAGATCCATAGGACAAATATTGTCCCCTTTTTATAACAAGGAGCTGAAGCTTTTTTTTTGAGTGTCAGTTTTGGCACAGATAATCTCACTTTTACTATTTATTCTGAAAAATCACTACTGCTTATTTGTTAGGAGTCTTGTTCCCTCCGACTTCAGTTTTATCTGAACACCATGTGGTCTTGTTTGCTGGGTCCTTCATCCAGCAATGGCAAATATCTGGTTTCTGGTGACAAATTTATTTTTAAAATATGCTTTTCAACTTGTTGGCCTTAGTGTGCTTTTGCCAAACATAGCTTCAGTGCTACAGCTTCTGCGTGTGGTCTTGGCTCTGTGTTACTATAGCTTAGGGACTGCCTTTGAGCACGGTTTAGTTGACCAGCCTAGCACTATGGCAGTGAGTGCTCTGGCAAGGCTGGTGCAGGGTCAGTAGGGGAGAAGTCTGGTTTCTGCCACCTACAAGTTGTGTAGGTCTTGGTTTGCTCAGCTCTATCCGCACAGCAACCTGGAAGAGGTGGCTTGTACGCAGCTGACGCTGGGAATGATGTGGATGTAGCCTGGGAAGCACTAGGAGATGGGCCACTGAGTGTGGCCAATGTTGGGAGTCACCTGAGGCTTCAACCAGCAAGAGGGTTCAAACTATGGGGTGGGGTTTTTTCAGTGAATCATAATGTCGCTGAATTTGAGCAGATTTTTATATGAGAAGGCACTTGTCTGACAGCAAGGCTGCATCTGCCAGCATCAAACTCCTCCTGCAGCAGATGAGAGCAAAACCTGGTCAAGGAAAACATTGCAATTACCTTTGATATGCAGGATAGTTGTCTTTAGCATTTTTCTCAGAACTGGCCTGTTCTGTCTAAAATGTCTGGAGGCAGATAGGTACTATAAATACGAAGTAACTGAAGCAGTGTCCATGTGAGAAGTGCCGGGCCACCCCGGGGGGGTCCCTCCTCCATGCAGCACGTCAAGAATCCCGACCGTCCCTCCTTCTGCCGGCTGGAGCATGTCTGAAGGACGCTTGGTATCGCTGTTAAGGGAGACATAAGCACCACTTATCAAGTTCGCTCTTTCATAATTGATGTTTGTAAAACCTCAGACAAAATTCTGGAGTTTGTGGTTTGTGTGTTTAGTCACTGTTGTGGAGTCATTTGTTTTCTCTGGTGCACTTAGATGTTGAATAACTGCTTCCAGCGTCGCTCTTAGAAATTGTGAAGTAGTGGTGCCTCGCAGTATTGTGAACTGACAGGTACAAAAAAGTTCGATTTCCACCATTAAAAACATACTTAGTGAGTGACAAATGGTAAGCTGGGGGTGAAGACAGACATAAAAACCAGCACAGTGCAGCTTGCCATTGCAGTGAGTAGCAGCAGGGAGAAAGTAACTCTGATCGCAGGGTTATGCCTGTGAGTTTATCGGTGGAAGATGCCAGATTGGAATGTCCTTCCCTCTCTTCTTCAAGCTCCTTTGTCCCCCTTTCCCCCAGGAGTAATTCAATTCTGGGTGCTGACTCAGCTGAGCTGAATTTTCTCCATCAGCGAATGCCATGAGCAGCAGGAGCTGCGGCGGCTGAAGGAGGAGCCCTGCTCAGGGCAGAGCAGCAACCCCTGCTAGAGCTCCCAACAAAATGTCTTTGAAATCTCTTTCGGAGGTTTGTTGCTATGCTTGGAGGAGCAAGCAAACTGAAAAGTCTCTTAAATAATTCTTGCAGACTGATGAACAAATTTGATTAAGATTTGGCAGCTTTTGCTAATATTGCCTGTAACTAGGAAATCTTCCCAGGCAGCTCTCTGCTCTGTATAGGAGAGGGCGCCCTCATAATTAAATGGTGAATGAAAGTAAATGTACTGATGAGCACATTGGGTTGTTACTCAAATTGAGGCAGCACAAAACAAAGCTTTCCTTCTGTAATCCCTTGGGGTTCTGTACAGGGTCGTGTACCCCGCTACATCAGAGGCTATGAGAGATGGAACCTGGATAATGATCCTGTGGCCCCAGAAATAGGAAAGTTCCCTACCCAGCTCTCCTGGGTTTATCATCATTATTATTATTGTTTATAGATGCAAGTTCCTTAACCTGTATGTGTGCTGTCCTGCAGTGTAGCTCCATCAGCTTGGTGATGCTACATTTCTGGTTTACATTTTAAAAAAAAAAAAAAAATCCTATTTGTTTTGTAGAACCTTAATGTACTCTCTGATAATTTTGTGTGTTGAAGTTATTCACTCCAAATTTCTTGTATAGTAGCCCGTATTTGATTAAGTAACATGAAATAACGTGAAATTCATGTTGTCGTTAATTCAGAAGCATGGAAGCTGCTGGAGTTTTAATCCTGAAACTTTGGAAGCTGAGGTTTTTTGAGGAGCCGCATTAGGCTCCCTGAGCAGAAGGGTTCATGTTGCTGCGTGGATGCTGTGATACTGTCATCAAGTGAGAGGTTTAATGTTGCCGCTGAATTAGCTGAAATAATAACGGCAGGCAGTACGTGAAAGGTAACTTCCAATTAATGGAAAGTGACCTTGATATCTGAGATATTTGAGACTGGTAGGATTCAAAATAAAACCATCCCCAGGTGTGGGGTCCGGGGAGCAGAGAGCAGTGAATGGACAGAAGGTTGTTACTCAGAAATGGGAACCGTCGACAGCAATTGCTCTTTCTGGTATTACTGTAGATAAAACTGACAAGTTAAATGAGGGAGAATAGAAAGGTTTATTGAAATGCAGTGGAGAAAACTGGTATAGAGGAGGCAATATAGATTAGCTACAAAAAGATGGGCTCTCTAGGTGAACATGAATGATTCTTAAGAATTTTGCATCAAAAATAGTGTCCAGCCTGTATGTTTTGGTGCTTGTTTTTCTTCACCGGTCTTTTTTTGTATGCCTAGAATGTTAAACCCAGTGCTGCAAAACATTTAGTATGACTTGGAAGCTAAATGGCTAGGACGAGGCTAATGCAATGCAAGGAGAAAAAAAACTGCTAAACTTGTCCTGGAGTCAGAAATGTAAATAACAACAACAAAACCATCCTGCTGCTAAGCATCGCCGGGGCAGGTGGAAGGCATGATTTCATTTTTCTTGTTTCAACAGTGGCATTTGTACCAGAATTGAACGGTCCTCTGAGACACTCCCTTCAAGACTAACAAGCAAGAAAATGTGAAATATAAATAGTAACTTTCAAAAGACGTGGAAAGCAATCTTTTTCCTGTTGGAATTGTTACACTATTGCCTGGTGGGCCCTTAGGATGCGCCGCAGCATTACAATCTGTTGTGTTGTTATAAAAAGAAACATCCAACACAGATACATTTTATCTTAATCCCCAGATGACAAGGGAAAATGCATAAATTTCTGATGGGTTGTTTGCACCGTATCCTTCATAAAATTCAAATGCCACAGGAATTGCAGCGGAAGACAGCTCGCAGCAGTGCAGTTGTACAGCAACGCCACTGAGAGTTAGTGTTTTAAAAGACATTTATAGGGAAATTGCCTTTTGCACATCTCATGGTGCAAAGCAGCATGGCAGTTCTGCTGTAGGATTTAGGGAGAAAATTTGGTGAAGCCGCTACTAAATTAGTGTTTTGTTATATCGTTTGCTTTGGAGGGCAGAGTTATCCTTTTGCTGGTGGCTGGACAATGCTTTAGAGACTGATTTTTAAAAGGAGACGAGGAAGTGTTTGGGGTTGCTCTGCTGCTGTTAGGAGAGCAGTGTGTGTGTTCACTGCTCCCCGCTCAGCATAACAACCTTTGATGGTAATGACAAAAATGAAGAATCACAGGGAAAAACTGGCAACCCTTGTAACTGAACTTAAGCTTTGTGCTGTGAAACACCGCGTACAGCAGCATGACACGATGGTTTCCACACTAACAAGGTTTGGTATGATCCACGCATGTTAGAACGAGATTTCCGTGTTCCTGCTTTCCTGTGCGACCTTTCCCGTTAGCAGTCCGGCTCCCTTTGGCTGCCGGCGATCCTCCCTGCTTGTGGAGAGCTGCAACACGTGGATGTGGGCAGAAGAAAGGGCAAGAAGAAACAGCCACAACAATAGGGATAGCTTGAAAACAGTGCCCTACTTCAGGATAAGTCATAGTGTAAAACCTGGAAGGGGTCAGAACTTCACCATTAACATTCCAACAATTTATTGTAATAGCTTGAAAGATGGGAAGGTTTGCTATTTTAATTAAACCAGGGGTTTCCTTCATCAGCTGTCTGTCTTTTCTCACTGGAATAATATGAGAAATTGGATGCTGATGGTGTCTGGATGAACCTGCCCTGTTTACAGGGAAAATCTTTCTTCCTATAGGTATTCTGGTTTTGGGGAAAAATAGCCAACCTGTAACTGTCTCAGTTCTGTCTCTTCCTGCTACTGTGTTGAATAATAGTAAACTAAAAAAAAAATTATATATATAGTAAAAAAAAAAAAAAGCTCAAACTTAAGAAGTCTCCCTTCTTTTTTTTTTTCCCCAGCAAAACCAGAAGAGACCAAACCAGCTGAAGCTGTGGCAGGGAACTTTATCACAGCACCTCCCAACAAAGAGCTTCCTCCCAGCCCTGAGAAGAAGACAAAGGTAGGTGTCATTTCACGTTCAGCGTCTTCGCTTCTGTGGTTTTTATTTGCCAGCTTTTCTGCTTCTTAAGCTGTGGCAACACAAGTTCTGTTTTCTGAGCTGCCATTTGTGAACCATTTTACTGAAACAAAGACATGCGGTTATGAAGTTGCAAACAACTCAGCCTGTAGCAGCATGACTGAAAGTGGATTTAATAAATTTGTGGCAAGCTTTAAATTAATTCTCTGGTTGGTATCAGTGGTGTAGAAGTAGTAAACATATAGGATAACACTTCTGCTACACTGATACTCTCCTAGTTGTTTACAACACATTTATTTGCATTACAATTAGCATTCAGAGATCTTGCTCAGGATCTGATATTCTCTTATTTTAGGGCTGTTTATGAAACACGACACCTGCTTTCAGAAGCTTGCAGCATTCAGCAAAATCCAAACCCAAATTCTTAGAGCAGTGGTAAGGGCAGGGGGTTCTTGGTCCCCTTGAAGGCAGCGGACGTATGACCGCTAGAGTTGATCAGATGAAGATTTAGAGCTTGCAATCCGTTGTGTGCGTGTAATTGGAAAGCAATGTCCTGTGTATTGCATGCAGGAATAGATGCCAGGAACACCCAATTACTAATCCCAGCTTTACCAGCGATTCCTTCTGTTGCTTTAGATGTAGCTGGAATAAATCCTGTTCGCTTTAAATTGAATGGCAAAATTCCACTGGGCTCCGAAGGCAGCCCTCTTCTGCTGCTTCATTTTAGTCTTTTTGTTACGCTCAGAAAACAGAAAGCTAATTATTTTTTTTGTTTCTTCTAAAATATTTTTATGTTCTTGCAGCTCAGTGTTTTGGTTTACAATGCGCTTTTTTTTGTTGTATTTTTTTTTTGTTTTTATACTGGATTTTGCTTTTTGAAAAAATATAAAGCCTGCTGCATCCACATCATCTACAAAGCCTGCAGCAACGAAAGCCAGGCCCCTGTCCGCTACCAGCCCCAAGCGGCCAGCCTCTGCCACGCCTGGCCCAAACAAAAAACCCACGAGCCCTACTGCAGGTCCTACTTCAGCCACTACTACTAAACGCCCAGCCACCAGTACTACACGTCCCTCCACCTTAACTCCAAAAGAGACCAAACCAAAGGTAAGAAACAATTTGCTTTTGTGTGGGAGCTCCGAGAACCTATTTACATGTTAACTTACCAGCTGTCTTACCCAAGAGTCAAAGCATAATTCTAGCGCTAATCATGGGAGGGTAGGATGAGGAATGTGATTCGCTGTGTTGAGAGCTGCACAGTTACTAGTATCAGCTTCCATTAACGCACGTACGGCATCAAGTCCCAAGCATTTAATTGTGTCATCACAGACGAGAAAATTAAACTTGACTGTATTACCACGATTTTCCTTGTGAACTGTCACGAAGTACCCAAGATAATTCTTAATTTCTCTCCATTACTAAAGGAGGAGGGATTTTTAAATATAGATACACTACAGATATAGGATAACTCTTAAATCCAGACAAGAGCATGGGAAAACTGAATGGAGAGCTTCGATAATAATACTGAGGGGGGACAAATCAGTTTGAACACTTTCCCACTGATTGTCTCTTTATGATGTCTGGTCATTATAAAAACTGTACAAAGATAACTGATAATACACTTGCGTGCTTAGGAAATATTGGAGATTTGTAATTCTCCAGTAAGTGAAGATTTGTGGACAGTTCTTAGTGTTGCATCTTAAAGCTGAAGTAGGGTATCCACATGTAATGTTAAGAACAGGAAATGTCCCTTGAATCTTCCCTATGTTAATTTGTGATATTATATGGTAGAAGAATTCAAATTTGAAAGGGAATGTTAAAATCTATTTCAGAAGCTTTCAGTTGATGTCTAAATGCTAGCATTTCTACTATACATTTAAGCTTAAATAACTGCATTTGAGTGTCTTTTAAAACTAACTAAATAAAAATAACAAAAAGAGTATGAAAGCACTGTGAACCAGTATCTTCAGTTTTAAGTTTTTGCATGATTCTGAATCCCTCTTTGATGAAATCAAAATCTCATCTCATTTGTTTCCATGCATTAACTCAGTATTTTAATACTTAAGAGATCAGTCAGTTTACAAACAAGTGACTTAACCAGGGACAGATGTGAAATAGTTTTCCAAGTGAGGAATGAACCACGGACACCTAATTCTTATGTCCACAGTGTTTTAATGAATGCCGCCTTAGCTTAGGAAGCATTTCTGCTCGCAAAGGAAAGAAATCTCTCCCAGAAGTACTGCTAGTAGATTGATGTTTTCCATTTTGTTCAGAAATCAAAACCTCGTCAAATCGTAAATGGCCTCCACACATTAATGCTGAAACAGATCTGAATGAATTATAATATTCAGCAGGGTCCGTGCTGTGTGTCCTGCACTGAATAGTCAGTCGCTTCTGCATGCCTTAATTATAATCTTCTGCATTATAGAGTTTCAGTGGTGCCTAGCTTATGTGTTTAAGAATTTAAACAATTTCAATTTATTTCAGGCTTTTTGTTGGCAAACACTTTGAAGAGACTGTCAGTGAAGTGCTGGCTTTAATGTAGCCTGTTCATTTTCAGGTTGCAGATGCGAAGACCACAGATAAACGGACCTCACTTCCAAAGACTCCATCATCTGCCACTCCTAGAACTACTGTCAGGAGCTCCCCTTCTACTCCTAGGACAACGGCGGCATCGCCAGTCACTGCAGCTGCTGGTGCAAAAAATACTGCTACTTCTCCACCGAAGAGGCCAACATGTAAGTATTCTCTTGTTTTATTTCAGATCTCTCTTTCTAACCAGCTGCCAGGTTCTGTTTGAGTAGCACCATTGGTTCACGCTATGATGTCTTTCTCATGTATTCCAGTACGCTGACTGCTTTTTCCTGTGTTTAGGTTACCCTGTGGCCCCATCAGTTTAGTCTCCTAATAAACAAGCTTGTGATCTTCAGATCAAAAGAAAAAAAGAAAGGGGGGAAAAAAAAAGCCAACCCTTGAAATGTAGTCACTTAGGAGAAGCCGTAGCTGCTGTTAACCAGTACTTCTGAGAGGTGTAAACTGGCCTAACTGTCAGTCAGGAGTTGACTTCAAGTTTAGTGATAGCTGAAATCTCAATCCTTTTAATACAACACAAGACTCCATGCCAAGGTACAGAGACTGTAGGTCATACTTTTTTCTCTCCAGGGCTTCCTCTTCGAAAACCAAATCTGAATGACCTTCAAGGCCAACTTGGATCAGCTCTGTGTGATTCAGGGTTAATACAATTACTGAGCATGCTTGATTTAAGAAAAAGGATGCTATTAACTCTGTATTTTGCCATAGTAACACTTAGAATAAACACTAAAACCAATTTAAAACTTGGGAAAAGCAACGTTTTTTGTTTTTCAGATGCACTAGTTTGAGTGCTTCAAGTCCTCTTCTGGAGATTTGAACAGAGGTGGTTTTTTACTAGTGCAGGAAGAATTTGGAGCTGAAATCACATCAGCTTCATCAGAAAACTGTACCCCACTCCTACTGTTGCCGAAGAGGGAACTTCCCATGAGTTTAACACAGTCGGTATGAAACATGAGCAGCATATTAGCATCTTGAAAACAGTGTTTTCTCTCATTTTAATGGAGCTTGAGAGATTTAACATCAGATAAAAATATAGTTAAATGTTCTCAAGTCTTTTCAAATGACTAGACCTCATTGGCAAAATATGCCAATAAACATGTAAAACTACTATACGTATTGGTTGCTTTGTTCTATGAGTCCCAAAGCATGAATTCGTAACCCGTCTTTCCCAAAAGAATAGTAGTGTTTTAACTATGTTGAAAGTACATTCCATACTTTATGCTCTAGGGGAAAATATAATTAATCCTGTGTAGAGGAAGTGTTGCACTTTCCAAGAGTCATGTATCTTAACTGATCCTGTGGACATCCTTGTACAATTCATTTTGTGTGGTCTTTTAGGCAAACTGTAGCCCAGAATGCTTAATACGTTTTAATGAGTTCAGTTAATTTCCCCTTCCAAAATTGAGACACAAACAAAGAAGTGTTTTCTGATGACATTTGAAAAGAGATGGAGTCAATGATGCAGAGATGCAGGAAGGTTGTTCCAAGTGGCAAGATGTACAGAGGAAGAGACTTCTGCACCAGTGAGGGTGGTGGGAGGTTGCCAAAGTACAGTGAGAACTGGGTGGGCGAGGGAGAGATGAGGTCAGCTGGAGAAACTCCATCAGGAGTGAAAGCTGTTTTGTCTGGATCTGGAAATGCACAGAGGAGTCATGAATGGTAAAAGAAGGGAGTCCTATTTCGGAAGAGGAGAAAGCCAGGTTGTGATAGAGGATGAACAGTGTTGTGGGGCCTGAAGGGAAATCGCAACGAGCCAAACACTAACAATTCAGTTTAGGTACAGTATTTGCAGCTTCAGCTAGATCCATAGATGTAGGTGATGGAGACCTGGATCTCTTCTGATCACAATGTAGTTTCTCATTACATAGCATTGAGACAGATAATAAGTTTCTGGCTAAAGATGATATTGCAGAAGGACATCTGCTCTTGCTTTTCAGGTTCAAAAGGCAGAGACTCTCACTTCCTTGTGGTTTGCTCAAATGTTTAGTCGTTCTCACTGTTTAAAAATGTGTGTATAGGGGCTTGTCTTGAAATTATATGGTTTCACTTTTTCAGGTATTAAATGTCAGTCACCTTCTCAACTAAGTGAGAGCCACAGGCTATGTGGTGCTTGATTCACACACACGCACACACACACCCCAGTTTTCCCCCCTCCCTGCAAAAATGACTTTCATGTTTGTACAAGACCACCTCTCTGTCTCTCAGATCAGAAAAAGATCAAAGTCTTGGGCTGTCATTCTAGACCATTTTCCCAGTAGCTTTATCATTCTCCAGGTTTTCAACATCATGTGCTAATAACGTAGCCAAAAGTGTTCCAGCATTTGGCTCCCCACTCACACGAGTAGAAATAACATCTCTTTATATATTAAAGTAACATATTAGTCCTCTTGCCTTTATACACAACTAAGCCTGTTCTGTCCATACAGTTTTCCCACTTAAAGTTGAGGTCTCAAGGAATGAGATTAGGTTGGTTTGGCAGGACCTTTTTTGAAGTGTTTGGTATTAATTATATATCTGTCCTTTAGGCCTTATTAAATTATCCAAATGTGTTTCATCTCATTAGCTAGTATCTTATCTGTGGTGTTTAATTGAATGCTTTTAGCAAAGTTTGGATGGAATGATTGAGACTAACTGGGTGTATAGTTATCTGCCTCTTTTGCTTGCTCTTTTCTGTATAGGCATTCCATAAAATACCCTGCCAGCTACTTGAGTTTATCTAAAAATCTAAGACTGTTAATGAAATTAAGTATTAGAATATGAGGGTTTTCATAATTTCTAACTTAGATTTTTTTCTATTTGGTGTTTGTTTTTAATGTTGCCTTCCTTTGGCTATTGAAATGAAGCAGATTTTAGCCAAAGTTGTTCAGCATTGATAAAAAAGCTAGAATTTCATAATCAAAGAGCTCTTTAAAATAAGTTCTGTTTATATTTTTCAGTCTGTGATTTTTTTCCTTGATCAACTTTGTGTATGGTTTTATTCTGCTCTGAGAAAAATAGATGCGTTCCTGGTTTAGACTGTCCTCTGTCTATGTGGAATGTAATCAGGTCATGATCATTGGTGTTTGCCCAAAGGCGTAGTTCAGTTTAGTGATTGATTTTTGGTTTTATACAATTGTAATAGGGACCAAAATATGTGCAATAACTTCTGTGCAAGAAAATTGGCATTGGTGATCTAGCATTAATACCAAGGTTATAGATGGACAAATGTGGTTTTGCTTTTGCTACATAGTAAAGAAAGGAGCTTTGGTTTTGGGGGGGTGGGGGTGGTTTTTTTTTTTTAAGAAATGAAATTGGGATGGGATTAAAATAATGTTAGTGAGTGCTGTCAGATTCAGAAAGTTATTTAAGAAAAAACAAAATGCAAACCATACGCCAGGTGTGTTGCATCATTGAATGGTGAATTGATCCTTTTGCTGGAAAACATGAATGAGTTTTGCTGTTACAATGAGGACCACCTCAGCCAGGTGTTCAAACGGAGCAGTTAATTCTTGAGATGCTTTATTTCAAGCAACATGTTAGAAATGGGGACTGTGGGTAAAGAGGACCATCAGTATGTGAGGAGCTGCGGAGAGCCCCTGACCTCCAGGGGAAGCTGTGCCAGGACCTCAGGCTCCTCATCTGTGCAAACTGACTCCCACTCTGAAATACTTATCCGTGTGTTTTGTGTTGGGCAGCTATCAAGACTGATGCAAAGCCTGCAGATGCCAAGAAGACCTCTGCAAAGTCACCATCAGGTAACTTTGTTCAGTTTCCATCTAAATCAAATCCTCTTTGTTTAGGGCTGTGTTTATTAAGCAGGCCACTGTACATCTTTAGGACTCTGAGGAAGTTTGTATAAATGGCCTCTGACCCATCTTTTTCCCCCTTCCCTCCAACTATTGCTGTGATAATTGTAGCCGACTTGAGCCGCCCTAAGAGTGCTACTGGAAATACAGTAAAAAGTAGTGCCACCACTCCTTCTACCACTGCCTCCAGCGCACCTACTTTACCTGGAGTAGCCACCAGTCGTCCCAAAACCAAGACTGCTGCAACCAAACCCACCACAACCTCAACCGCAACAGCAGATGCTAAAAAAACAACTGCTAAGGCTCCGACTAAACCCAGCACTGTTTCCAAGCCACCTCGCCCGACCAGCAGCGTCTCTGCTCCAGATCTGAAAAATGTACGTTCCAAAATTGGATCAACGGATAATATTAAACATCAGCCTGGTGGAGGAAAGGTAAGTTTCTTAAAACTTGATAACAATGTGCACTTTGGAACAGTAGCTCTTAAGCATTATGGGTGCTCTTTGCTAATTTTGGTGGCTGTATCCTCACTGCTCTTCTCATTTATGCTCTGCAGAGCTCCTCTTTGGGTTGTTGGTTTATGCACAAGGCATTAACAAGGCAATGATAGTAGTGTACAGAAGGAATCCGCCTTAAGAGCCTTCATGGTGTTTACTGGCATACGTACAGGAATTCAAAACTCTGTGGTTCTGTTTTTCTGTCGTACGTCCTGACATAGAACCTAGTTGGTATTGAAAGCTCAAAATCTTGTCTATGTTCCAAAACTTTGCCTTTGAATAGAGGAATTGTCTGCTGAATGGTACAGAAGGTGGAATAACGCATTACGATGCAGGAAATCTGGATTCAGGAGCAAGTTCCGCAGCACCTTTCCCAGGTCTAGGAACGGGGACTCTGTTCAACTTGTCAGGCCTAAAGCTGAAATGCAATGGGTCTACATACGCTGGTCTTTGGATAATCTATGGTGGCCACAAGAAAAGGAGAGGGTAGTGTTGAATG